GCCAACCGAGTACAAGGTCGAAGAAATGGATGCAGCTTGCAAGACAGAGGAAGATGCAGAAGATGCAGAGCATGAGTTTCTTTCGAACAGATTGAAAAGGAAGAAAAAGCTCTCTTCGAAGGACCAAGAGCGACTAGACAAACTTACCGAGAAGATCAAAACTCGCGTAGTGATCTCTGATCCAAAGGGAGGAAATTCACAAACTGCCCAGGACGCTGAAGAGCTGATTGGACAAGAAATCGAAGAATTGGCTCTACACGATGTAGAACAACGCGATCGTGAGGTTGAGGAACAGGCACATAGAGCAGAGAAGAGGGCCGCTGCCGCTGCTGCTGCTACACGCAAGATAGAAGAGGACAAAGAGGACGATGAACTCGAGTCCCTCAAGGCCAAACTCAAGAAGAAGAAGAGGCTTTCCACAAAGGACCAAGAACGACTTTACAGGCTTAACCAAAAGATTAACGCTCGTACTACTACTATGGAATCTAGCAACAATCTCGAAAAGCTGGCTGCTCGTAAGGCCGAAGGGCAAACTACACGCGATGCAGAACAGGCTGCTCAAGCCATACGTGAGGCCCAGGAACATGTTGCTCGGGAACGACAGGAAGCTGAAGATACGGCGGCAACTTCTAAGTCGAAAAATAGTGCTCGATCCGAGGGAGAAACTTCTAAGTCCGACGAGGGAAGGGGGGATGTTGACGATTTCGACCTCGACCTCGATCTCGATGACGTGGATTTGACAGCCGAGCAGGCCGACGAGATTCTCTCAAGCATACCACCACCGGCGAAGCCCAGAGGTAGTGAACCCTTCTCGTTTTGGGGCGCGAAAAACATCCTGAAGAGCCCCCCTCCTGGCGTAATATGCACCTCTCAGCCTCGGCAATCAATTGCATCCAGATTCGGATTTGCCGAGTCACCCAAGGCTTCGGATGATGCCACTGCTGCTACGATGCCACCCAAGCTTTTGGAAGAGATCACCGTCGATACGACTAAGCCAGCCTACCCAGGTGTGCCTAGCGACGATCGGCCGAAGAAAACCAAAGGAAACAAACTCACCGAGAAGCTCAAGAAGTTCGAACCGGTAACGCAAGATGATTCGATCGATGTTCTTCCTAAAGCGCCATCGCCCCCATTGGCACCCCAGCCTAGTCCTCCACGGTCCCTGGAAGATACAGCAACCAAGTTACCCCAGACAGACAACGATAATATTCCTGGCGGTTTCCCAACGACCGACGAAGACCGTGATTATGAATCCGTTGATGGTTATGCTAAATACGAAAATAAGCTTATTAAGACCGGCGACATGGCACTCCAGTTAAGGAGGCCAGGGAAGAGCATACTAAAAAGCAAAGCAAATCACGGATATGGGGACGAGGACGAGGACGTGATTGTCGATATCATAGACTCTTCACCGGTAGAAAAGAAAACAAAGAAGAGCAAGAAGAGTAAATGGGATGATCTCCTCTCTCCCGTGCCGCCCCCCGCGCCTCCTCCACCTCCTGCAGCGCCCGACTCACCAGACGGATCTTCGACACCCTCACCCGAGGTCAAGCCATTCAGGAGAGAACGAGTCAAAATTAGCCGTGATGAGAGCGTACCACGGGATGTGTGGCCGGCTTCGGCTGCGCCACGCAAAGAAGAGAGAATATCTCCGATACCCTGGCGTGACATTCAGCAATCCGATAAAGAAAGAGAGGATAGAGTATCTTCTAAAGGCTCAAGTTCGGACAGAATCGAGCAAGAACGAGATGACAAGGTATTTCCCAACTTGAGGTCTCGCATGGATAGCCATTTTCAAAGTACGCCTCCACTTTCACGTTCCATATCAACACGTGAAAATAAGGTTTCGGCTAGATCTAGCTCTAGGCACCACTCCGTCGAAATGAGCGGCGGATTGGTTTCCCCCGCACTAGACGACCCAGCTGAGATGACCTCGAAGGCTGCACGGATACTCGGGGTAGACAAGAGCCGCAGTCTGAGAAACTCTAGAACCTACACCGCCGCAATAGACGATGATGTGGTGGTCATGGACAGGAGGTCCCGCGATTTTACTTCAAGTCCTGATAAACCGTCGCGCAGAAGACCAAAGGTAGAACGCCAACACTGTCCCGGACCAAACCTTGCTAATGGGGAACAGGTTAAGCCAGATGACAATACTTTCACACCAGATCCGAGGAGCTCCGGCAATATGACACCTTTGAAGCGATCCAGTTCGAACGCCAAAAAGGGTATCTCGGGGCTCTTTGGTGGTTTGATGCACTCGACTCCTCGCTCGGAACCTCGCCCCGAACCCCGTCGCCGTAGCACATATCACGTAACCGACGATGAGGGACGACTTGACAAGAGAGCAAGGCCTGTACGGAGAATGAGTAGCGTCGAGCGAGATATCGACCCCGAACGGGAAGCTCGGCGCGCTGCCCGTAGAGCGAAGAAAGAACAAGAGAGGGAACAAGAACAACTTGAAGAGGCCCGACGCGCGAAAGAAGCTCGTCGCGAAAGGCGCAGGCGTCTAGAGGAAGAACAGGAAGAGATGCGTAGACAAGAGGAGCGTGAGGCCCGCCGAGCCGAACGCAGGGCCGCACGAGAACGTGAGGCACAGCGGATTGCATATGAGGAAGCAGAAGCGAAGGAAGCCGAGCGAGCCGAACGTCGTCGTCTTCGCAGACTAGAAAAAGAAGCCGCAGCTGTGGAAGCGGAAGCAGCAGCCCGCCGGGCAGCCCGGACCGAGCGACGACGTTCACAGTACGTAGAGGAGTCGGAAGAAGAAGCGGAACGCCGAAGAAGACGCGAGGCTAGGCGAGCCGAAAAGACTAGTCGCCATCGGTCTGAGCCTCTGGATGATTATGGGTACGTCAGAGACAGGCCTTCCAGATACACAGACGATGAACGCCGCAGAAGACCGCCAACTTGGCCACATTCGGGTACGAGCTCATGGGTCAAGGATCATGTAGAGGGGGGCCGGCCGCCACATGACGGGCTTACGACGGATGCCCCTCAAACCATGGATGATGAAGAAGCCCGACGCGCTGCTCGGCGAGCTACCAGGCGACGGGAGAAGTATGACGATACGAATAAAGAGTATGATGATGATCAGAGACGAAGACGAGCACGGCGCGAAGAGCGGGAGCGTCGAGAGCGGAGGCTTGGCGGGTCGGATAGCAGTAGGGAAAAAGCCGCCGCGCCGCGCGAATCGTTCTTCACCGATACGCCTCGAAGCAGCTGGTGGAGGAAGCTTACGGGGTCATGAGACACCCGCCATGATCTTATGAGGTACAATGGGGCATGACGATGGGGCATGACTGGGTCTATATGGAATTGGTTTAGGGGACATGGGTTGCTTAGTGCCTACGTCGTCGCCCTTTTGGGGATGCGATTACATATATATCATAGGCTATATATGCTGAGCTGATTTCTTGCTGCACTGAGTGCGGCTTGGCGATATGCCGGAAAGTTCCAGATCTGGATAGCTACATGGATGTTCCGGTTGGACGTAGGGCGTTATCTAGGTAGTCGTGTTTGTGCCATATTAGACCTGCATGCACGCCTCTTACAGCCCGGTCAAGATTGTCAGGGGGGGGGGGCTGCGTTTACCGTACATGTGTTCGCAGAAAAGAGAGCAATAAAGACCACTCTCTGTATTTACTCAATTGGTGTGAGTAGTATGCCTAGAATGATCGTGAACGTGAATGCGCATACTTAGATCCGAGTCTCTCAGTATGATGCGATGTCCCAAGGCTAAGTCCAAGCATATGTTAAAATCTCCGTGATATTGTTTCTGACTTCTGTTGTTATGTTTGATACTAGGGGATGCGGGTGGCCGCCGGCGATATGTCTAATTAGATGCTACCGCTGGCGGACTGAATAGGAAATCTTGCCTACAGCAGTGTAAGCGACAAGCAGCTGCCTCAGCAGGTAATCTAATCGGGTGTCTCTATAGCAGTGTGTATTCCGAAATGGTCGTTAATCACAATACAATGCGCAATCCGGATCTTGGTGGGACTTTTATTGCAGACGGTTTGTTACATGTGCATGCATTGCCGAATTTGGCCGGCTGCGTTATGATGTGTAAAGACATGAGCAAAAGACTTTTTTTTTTTTCGGAATGTTTTAAGCTTAAGCCTTCATGGGGTTTTGCAACATCATCTGCATGCAAGCCCAATATCCACACAAAGTCGCCGCCGCTGCCGCTGTCCGCATCCGCGACCCACACCGGCGGTGACGCCCGGGAGGGAGGTCACGTGCCAGTCTGAACGGAACATCGTTCTTAGGGCAGCAGATAATGTCAAACTTGCAGAGGATCAAACAACGTACGTAGTGTAATAGCACCAGTGCAGTAGAAGTTAACTGGCTTCTGCCCCATTGCTTAGATAGCTTTAGGAACGGAAGAGACCCGGGTGCAAGTCCCGGCTGGCGCAACGTTTTTTTTAAAAAAAAACCCACCCCTTTCTTCTTTTCTTTTTTTTTTTTTTTTTTTTTTTTTGGAAGCGCGTAGGCAGCATACAATGCCAAACTTGTAGAGGATCAAACAACATACGTAGTGTAATAGCACCAGTGCAGTAGAAGTTAACTGGCTTCTGCCCCATTGCTTAAATAGCTTTAGGAACGGAAGAGACCCGGGTGCAAGTCCCGGCTGGCGCAACATATTAGACTCCCCTTTTTTTTTTTTTTTGCTCTCCCTTTTGCTCTCCCTTCGGTACTCGTCCCTTCCAACATGATTTTCATCTTTTTGTATAGGTGGACGGACCATCGTTATCGCACTGAGATTTTGCCTCTCGATGCTTTAATATTGCCCCCTTGAAGTGATTCTGTTCCCAGTGATTGTGGGCAGTGTGTAGTAAAATACGGAGCATCCAGAGGGGACGTGCTAGGTGCTTAGCGGGACATCCTCGGCTCAGCGGCAGACAGGTTCTGGGTACCAGGGTGAGCACGGACAGCAGGCGGGATCTGTATATATATATAATAGAATATACGTAGGAACTCACAACAATAATAGCACAATAGCAGCGGTGGAGCAGAAACTAGCTCGCTTTCCTCACAATGCCTCACGGCTTAGGAATGGAAGAGACCCGGGTGCGAGTCCCGGCCGTTGCCACTTTTCTTTTCTTTTTTTCTTTTCTTTTTCTTTTTTTCTTTTTTCTTTTTTCCTTTTTTCTGGTTTCTTTCTGGTTTCTTTCCTTCCTGATTATTCTTGGCGGTAGATTCTATTGTCTCCTTCTTGCCGTCCCGTAGCTTATTGAATACTTCCTTCCACTCCGTCGCTTATTGGCGGTCTTATCTTCGGTATTTATCAATTATCATCTTCCCTACTCGGTAATCGTAAGTCCTCAGTAGCATGTCAAACAAAATGTGCTGAAAAAAAATCACAACAATGGCAGTATAGCACCGGTGTAGTAGAAGTTAACTGGCTTCCTCCACATTTACCTTGTGGGTTTGGGGACGGAAGAGACCCGGGTGCAAATCCCGGCCGGTGCAACTTTCTTTTTGACTCCTTTTTTTTACTAATAGGTTTTTTTTTTTTTGATGAGAGGCTTTCCTCTTCAGTCTTACTAATTCGTACCAGAGCCCGGCATATGCGAAGAATGGCGACGCTGTGTTCAACTCATTGAGAGACAGGATTCAATAGCATTGCGTCTACCCCTATCTTGCTAGCTCTTCCGCGACCCGCGATCCGCGATCAGGCCTGGACTTGACTCTTGAAGGTCGAGTATCCGAGCTGGTAGTTGACTAAGACATACGTAGTGATTACTGACCCTGCAAACAAGAGGCGATAAGAGGTAGGATTTACGAGTCTTTGCTATCGACACGTATCGCACGAGCAACTCGTGTTTGCGCGATTCCGAACACGATAGCATCACTTGGCGCTATCTCCATGGAGCGCGCGGAGCCTCTCAATAATGTACAGTGATCGGGGATCATTTTGGGGGGGATAAGAGTCAATTTTGAATAGAGGTTGGATTGAAATATGAATAGGATATGCGTTGAATGATGTCTAATGATGATACTGATCACCGTCGACCTAATTCGTCTGTCGACGTTCGGGTACAGGCCTGCTCGCGATATGCTTGGCTTTCCTCGCTGGGAAGACAGACCATTAGCAGTACGGAATTTGATAGGCGCCTATGTTGCTGGAAAGGGAAACAGGCTCTGATGCAAATAGTAAAGGCGACTTCTTTTTTGTTGGCGATGGCCTCATGGCCCCTATTCTCTCCACTTGCAAGCCAGGAATGATGAATCTCACTGCGGGAGCTTCTTTTTTCTCTTTTTTTCTTTCTTTTTTTTCTGCGCCACTTATCGAAGATGACGTCTTGCGATAGAGTTCACATGATAATAGAGGAAATCGGAAAAAAAAAGGAGTGTAGATAAGAGCTGGGTGATCACGTGCCATCTCCCAGGAAACATCGTCCGCTCTATGGGCCAATGGACGAATGACAGCACGCCATGGCTCTCGGGGTATATGGTTCAAGATATGGGGAGGGAAAAATAACAATGAGATAGCGCCAGTGTAGTAGTAGCTAACTGGCTTCCTTCTACCATCGGCACCACGTAAGGGCGATGGGATGAAGGAAGAGACCTGGGTGCGAGTCCCAGCTGGCGCCGCTTTTTTTTTTTTTTTTTTTTTCTTTTTTTTGTTGGTGCCAGTCCATCCCTACCTAGCGTTTTGATGGTCCTCCTCCTATTTCCTTCTGTAATTTTATCATCTACCGAGTGACTCGGTGCTCGGTTGTCTCTCGACCGCGATCTTCGACTATCCTTATGGCATCTTGACTCATCTCCGATGGGTTTGAGGCTTCTTCGATGGGCGACTGGGTGTAGTCCGCAAACTCCTTAACTTCTTGCACACCTCGGTTATCTCAGAAGCTCAGACCATCTTCAAGGTGCCAGGTGGCCTGAGCTTACTGAGAGAACCATTTGGCCCTTCATTCCTGAATGCTTCCTACGGTTCCTTCTTCTCCCTCTCGCTACCTAAGACACCGGTCACGGGTCAGCCTTGGAATAGTGTAGGTACCTAGTTCGCCTACCACCTGCTTGTACCGTCCCCAGCAGGGTCAATGAGCTTTTACTTGGATAAGATACCTACTGGAGAATCGAGTACCTCGGGGTAAAACGTTGGAGAGGCTAGGAAAAAGGACTTTTGCGCGTACTATTCAATAGTAGTGAATACTGAAAATAATGTGCCTACCCCTATTCTGCTATGCGTGTGGCCGATACTCGAGCGGCGGCACTTTCAAATAGCAGCCTAGACTACAAACCAAATGAATGAAGAGAACAGCAGATAGCAAGAAGACTTGATAGATTCTACCATTGATGCAGTGTCTGATTTTATCTAGAAATGTGTAATTAATTAATAGCTTGACAGCGGCGCCGTAAGAATATGCCGATCTAGATAGATATCATCATGCCCGCCGGTGATACTATATACATACGATTTTCCTCCACTTCGCTAATGCCCTTTTCCTCTACATCTTTGCTTTGTACTCTATGATCTATGACCGAGACAGCTAGCTTTGTCCTGGACGTTCTGCTAGATTTCTATATTCAAACCGCTGGCATGGTGCCGTGCCATACACACATAATGAGCCCGGCTACTTTTTTCGGCTTTAGACTCAGACCTTGGGCAATCGGACTCCCGATCCAGGAGAAGCCATCATAACTATAGATGGATTGCCACAGTTGCGTTCGTATCTGCTTTCAAACGTAGGCGAGCGGTAGTCAACTAGAGAACGCTTTACAGACTGTAGATCCGATATCAATAACCTAAATCCAAAAAAAGGATGAGAACAGGATACGAATGGAAGCCATTTATAATATTCTCGTGTTGATGTCGTCTTACTAGAGGTAATCAACGTTTACATCATATGAACAGTCATTCTAGACGTCGGGGCATCGTCCCGGGGCGTCCTCTCTACCGCGATTCGGCGCAATGCTGGCGCGGCAAAACATCGTAAACACTGACCGGAAGGATAAGGGAAACCAGGGCATTGAGTGAAGAGATCTCAGCGGATGTAATGCGCGGAGTACCTAAGATCGGCTTGGCGAGTGAATCATTCTGAAGAACTCCACAGCAACCTCAACCCCGTCGTCCAGGTAGGCTTTTACGTGTAACAAGGCCAAGAGTTCCAAATTCGAATGGCTCACGCCGAACCAGATATTCGTATCATTGGATCTCAGGCTAAGCCGAGGATGGCGCCACCAAAGCCACCACCAGTAAAACGAAAAAAAAAGAAAAAAAAAGAGCCCAGCTCACTGCTCACTGTCCAGACCCTGTCGCTGGCTGAAGTACCGAACTTTATTGACATAGGTGTATGTATGTAGTTGACGTGACGTGGACGACTTTCGCATCGACGCCGCAGCGCGGACTCGCTAAGAGATCCCGGGACCTTCGCGGAGTCCGTAGTTAATTATCTCCGAGTAAGGAGAAAATTAATCGAACAAGGTACAAATCCGCCGCCTGCTTACCTGAATCCCAATCCCTCTTTCGGTAGTGCATAGCATGATCCAGAAACAATCTTCATGGAAAAGATTTCGAGAATGTCAGGGAAATCCATTAGTTGAGACGCTCAACACGGTCGTATACCGAATAGTTGCCGATTATGTAAAATGCCTCAGGCGCTTAGAATCGCTGCAGCGGCAAATAACATTGGACGATACCCCGAAATAATGTAAAAGCAATGGTGACGTTCGATAAACTTTCCTCGACCAAAGCACCCTGGATCTCACCTCTCGAGTCTCGACGGACCAATGTCGAATGTCGCAATCGTAAAGCCCTTACCCTGAAGCTCGATGTGGTCGCGGTCAGGAACATTTCAGTTGACAGTTGACAGTCGCCATTGTAAGCAGACTATCCAACTAATCATGTCCACGGCTAGATAATCGAGCATTTGCTGAGGATTGGAATCGAAGTTGCTTTGACGCACATACTCAAATCTCTCAGGAATCGGGGCATGCGACAGACCCAGGCGCCCCTTAGGTCATATGCCAGATAATGATTGGGCGGGCAACTGAGCTGATACCATCATTATAAGCGCCAGTCCGGATCTTGTCATCAGACCGGCTGACATAACCAGCGCAGACACACAGTCCAGCAGTCATTCAATACATACATTGATGAAACGACTGGGAGAGCGGATAGCAGCAGACAGCCACTCACGTTGCTGCCCTCTGTCGTGAACGCAGATAGGTATCCTTCCAATGGCGGGGAACCCCAAAAATGCATGGTTCATCGACGGTAGATAGTGTATCTACATCATAATATAATATGGTAGTCTACTGTCTTGGCTCCGCCGAATCCCGATTATGTATTGGCCGCATCGTGGGCCGGAAGTCGACAAATACCCCCCGAACTCTGCGACGACCGGATTCCGTTATTCGGGGGCCATTCACAGTTGGCATATCGTACTTGCTACTTGCAAGTTGCGGGCGTTTTGCAATATCGGGCTGACAAAGGGGAATTCTAGGCAACAGTTCGTTCTTCTCATCGAGGACGGCCTCACATTTAGATATGATTTAGACGGTTTTAGTGCTTCATGTACCTGGACCACGTATCGTGCTAGCCTAGGTCCTGAGTAAGTAATGGCGCCGGGATGAAGATCGCTCCCCTTTAAGCGAGAACACTCACGTGTTTACCGTGTTGCTCGGCCACTTAACCGACCAACTCCAGGGAATGGCATTCCTGATTTGAGGAGTCTGCGAGGGAGGGAGGCCAGGCAAAGTGGTGAACAAGTTAGTGTCGCTGGATAGAACGGTCAATACGAAGGTTCAATAGGTAGGTATCCTGTACAAGCGCACACCCTCCTTACCATATTCGTCGGCCTGTCTACTGTACTTAGGTATTGCTTGGCCGTCCAGACCTCCAGACCTCCAGACCTCCAGGCCTCCAGGCCTCCAGTAGTAGGAGTAAGTAGTAGATAGCATTCGCAGTCACCGAAAGTCGGCCGAGTAATGCGCATGCCGATTCCCGAGCGAACGCGATTGTGGAAATCGTAGTAGGGTTCAACATGCCCAACACGCTGTACCCACCTCCTTCCGAGGTACGTAGGTAGTAGGTAGAGGCATGTTAAAAAGTGTGAAATGGAATCTTTTCATCTTAAATG